TCGAAAAAACCCCTGATAGTAACGCAAGTAAAATTCCAGAGTATTGTAGAGCAGGTGTATCACGAACTTGGTCATGCAGAAGAACGAAAGAGTGAATACGCTGTCCACCAGCGGTTTTGGTGGCCATTTATTCATGACGATGTGACGGGATTTCGCAAGAATTGTAACACGTGTTGCCGTAGAAAATCAACTCAGTAGATACACCGTGCACCATTGAATCCGATGGTGTCAACAGGACCACACCAACAAGTAGGCATTGATATAATGGGACCATTGACAACGACCGAAAAGCCTAGTTCCTCTGACTTTTAGCATGTCAAGTCAAATTGTCTAGGACATGTATGCTTCGAGTATTATGCAAAGCGATCAGAAGATAACCTATAGTCAACATTCTCACCAACCAGAACTATTTCGTTACCATACCCTAATCTAATTTAGGTCAGTTGAAATATCTTTCCATGACTAGTAATTTAGCACATAACATTTGTGCCCCTGGGGGTAACGTAACTAATCCAGTTAAGTTCCCAATAGTCTGTTACTCAACTGGACATGGGAAAATTCAACGATTGATGCACTTCACTGGTAGAAATTCGATAAATGGGGGTTACAGATCGGTCAATCCGTGTAGTGTAATTCAGGATGTCAGATATGACTAGTTAGAGATATTAACAATACCTATACTCGTGCACCACCCCTCCGCAACTCATGTAAACATACACTGCGTTCAGCTTTGAGGTCAGATACCAGCGATTCCAATCACCCGAAGCTGTTGACTGGACCACTGATAGATTTTGATGTACTGGGTTCGAACAGACGAAGATCTTGAAACATATATCCGGTGGTAAGCGAGTACTACTAATAGTACTAGTTACATTACTTCCTGGCATGACTGGACAAACTAGAAAGACGTCCATGGTAAGTCCCTGTAGTTGGCACATTGATACTAGAGATACGGCTAATTAACAAGTAAATTACGCCTATTGATTGTCTACGCGACACTTGGATCGCAAAAATAGTTCTGAACAGAAGGTTAGGTGATCTTGACATTTTTCACTTCCATCTTCGTAAACTCAAAGATGATTATTCTGGCAACACGGTGTAGGTAAAAGTATGAGACATTGGAAAAACTACATATCCACAACTAGGAAACAATTTAACGATACCATGTAGCATTAATGTGCCGGAACGCACTTAATGAGCAAGAAATTCAAAATAACAAACACCAAGTCTTCTTACTTTATTTTTACTTGTTTACATGTTTATATGTCAGTGTACATTTTCCACAATATTCACGATCAAAGTGACTGGCCATAAATACTCCTGCACCGCATTTATCGTTGGGGCATTCTCTGCGTAGTCGTGTCACCTTACCATTTGAGTCAACCTGAAAGTGTCAATGCTATATAATGAAATCCATTACTTTGTAAAACTTCAGAGTTGCAAGTTTAACTTTCTTTTTCTTGTGTTTAACTTTCTTTGGAGTTGAGTAATTCTTTTTCTTCCTCTTTTTTCCTCCACCTCGAAGTTCACAATTTACATCAACATTGTCCAGATCCGTAATATCATAGTCTCCTAGAAGTGTACTGTCTAGTAAAGGAGAGCCATGATGATAAAGAGATTGGGTGGTAGCTTGTATGCCAGTGACATTCGAAATCTTATCTTTTAATGACTTTACGGATTCATACGGCCCAACAGACACCACAAATGAGTCCCCAAAGTGGGACCTAACCAAAAGCCTCATCTCAGCACGCTTACGACCAAATTGCGCGGGCTTGTTGACGAAATGAACCAAACGAAAGTGTCAATTACCATCATTGTTTCAAGTTGGGCAGTGTCCTAACTAATTAGGACATATTCCTGGAATGTGTAAGCAACAAGGATTTTGTTTGTTTGAGGGATTGTTTTGAACTACTTTGATTGATAATGTGTCTAATGTAAAAACGTCGAAAAAATTAAGTGGATTGATCATATACGAAATAAGGAATTGTCCACTATCCAATATCTCCAATATGTTTTTCAGGAGCTAGTATAAGCCAATCGATTTCTTTGCGCTCGATTCTTGTTCTTTCGGTACGGTTCCAGGTATTTCGCAGTGTCCATAGAATGTGGGTCTAGCTACTCGACTGTCTAATTCTAGTCAGTTGGCAGTTGTTTACGAGTTTGTATGTCCCGTGATTTGAATGAAAACGTTTTTTTCAGGGCGGTAGGGTCAATGGATACCAGCAGCTATCATGTTACCGGGCCAGATCAGTTAGTTGCAATTTGTAGAATGATAAGGAGAACAATGTAAAGCTAATAAGAAGAGGAATTCAGAACTGAGTAAATAAGTAAATAAATAATGGAGTTTATAAATTGGCAGCGAAGATTTTGAAAGAAGACTGAAGTTTAAGCAAGAGAGAGGAAACAGAGATAATAGGTGGGATAGATTAGGTTAGTGATCTGAGGGATGGCAATAATAACAACTAGCAAGTCTAAAGATATGCCACAAGCACAGCTTATTCACGAGTGAGATGATAATCCGTTTGTGAGTATGTGTTTATCAAGCCTCTTTTTAAAGCTATCTACTGAAGAGGCTGTTGTCACCTCAGCTGGGAGAGCATCCCAGGTTGTTTGGAAAGTTCCTGTTTAACTTGCAATTCAGTATTTATTGAAACTATTATCTTATTTATGCAAGGCTTTTACTAAAAAAATGGCTATAGTGGTAACTTACTTCAGTCTAGGAATACTTGGTGTGTTCACATTCTGTCTGTATATCAGTTCCAATGTACACAGTAACTTTTTTCGTTGTAGAACATGCATGACTCTGGGGTGTTTTTGAAAGAGTCCATATGTAATCTAGTCTCCTAATACATAGCCGTGAGTTAGAATGCTCCATTTTACATGCAACATAAGTGGCAGTTTCGCTTTACATTACTCCCTAGATATCTTTTAGACATCGCAAATTGGTGCTGGTCGTCGCAGTTTGGTGAACAATACGATACACAGGCATTACCAAAGATTACAACATGTCACTGCCTGAAACATTTTTCATATTTCCAATAGAATGCCGCGTCAGGGTATGATAAAATAAAACTTATTTCCTGATCATTTGAATTTCTATGTCTGTCTCCGCGTTAATGTCTGTGAAATACTTTGTGAACCGTATTATCTGGTTAGGTTGTATTCAATATACTTTTATGTGTGTCCCAGATAATCTGGTTTACTAAGGAATTCTATTCATTCCTTGTTTTTGTCACTGCATTTTGTAACCGTAAATAAACCCCCGAAATAAATAGTTCGGTATGTGTCTTCGACATTAGTCTTGCTGAACACCTCATACCTAAAGGTACTCTGTCAGGCACTTTCACGAGACCATCAATGAGCGCATCACGCTACGCAAGTGTTGCTGCAACAACGCAACACTTGCGTAGCGTGATGCGCTCATTGATGGTCTCGTGAAAGTGCCTGACAGAGTACCTTTAGGTATGAGGTGTTCAGCAAGACTAATGTCGAAGACACATACCGAACTATTTATTTCGGGGGTTTATTTACGGTTACAAAATGCAGTGACAAAAACAAGGAATGAATAGAATTCCTTAGTAAACCAGATTATCTGGGACACACATAAAAGTATATTGAATACAACCTAACCAGATAATACGGTTCACAAAGTATTTCACAGACATTAACGCGGAGACAGACATAGAAATTCAAATGATCAGGAAATAAGTTTTATTTTATCATACCCTGACGCGGCATTCTATTGGAAATATGAAAAATGTTTCAGGCAGTGACATGTTGTAATCTTTGGTAATGCCTGTGTATCGTATTGTTCACCAAACTGCGACGACCAGCACCAATTTGCGATGTCTAAAAGATATCTAGGGAGTAATGTAAAGCGAAACTGCCACTTATGTTGCATGTAAAATGGAGCATTCTAACTCACGGCTATGTATTAGGAGACTAGATTACATATGGACTCTTTCAAAAACACCCCAGAGTCATGCATGTTCTACAACGAAAAAAGTTACTGTGTACATTGGAACTGATATACAGACAGAATGTGAACACACCAAGTATTCCTAGACTGAAGTAAGTTACCACTATAGCCATTTTTTTAGTAAAAGCCTTGCATAAATAAGATAATAGTTCATAAATACTGAATTGCAAGTTAAACAGGAACTTTCCAAACAACCTGGGATGCTCTCCCAGCTGAGGTGACAACAGCCTCTTCAGTAGATAGCTTTAAAAAGAGGCTTGATAAACACATACTCACAAACGGATTATCATCTCACTCGTGAATAAGCTGTGCTTGTGGCATATCTTTAGACTTGCTAGTTGTTATTATTGCCATCCCTCAGATCACTAACCTAATCTATCCCACCTATTATCTCTGTTTCCTCTCTCTTGCTTAAACTTCAGTCTTCTTTCAAAATCTTCGCTGCCAATTTATAAACTCCATTATTTATTTACTTATTTACTCAGTTCTGAATTCCTCTTCTTATTAGCTTTACATTGTTCTCCTTATCATTCTACAAATTGCAACTAACTGATCTGGCCCGGTAACATGATAGCTGCTGGTATCCATTGACCCTACCGCCCTGAAAAAAACGTTTTCATTCAAATCACGGGACATACAAACTCGTAAACAACTGCCAACTGACTAGAATTAGACAGTCGAGTAGCTAGACCCACATTCTATGGACACTGCGAAATACCTGGAACCGTCACGAAAGAACAAGAAATCGAGCGCAAAGAAAATCGATTGGCTTATACTAGCTCCTGAAAAACATATTGGAGATATTGGATAGTGGACAATTCCTTATTTCGTATATGATCAATCCACTTAATTTTTTCGACGTTTTTACATTAGACACATTATCAATCAAAGTAGTTCAAAACAATCCCTCAAACAAACAAAATCCTTGTTGCTTACACATTCCAGGAATATGTCCTAATTAGTTAGGACACTGCCCAACTTGAAACAATGATGGTAATTGACACTTTCGTTTGGTTCATTTCGTCAACAAGCCCGCGCAATTTGGTCGTAAGCGTGCTGAGATGAGGCTTTTGGTTAGGTCCCACTTTGGGGACTCATTTGTGGTGTCTGTTGGGCCGTATGAATCCGTAAAGTCATTAAAAGATAAGATTTCGAATGTCACTGGCATACAAGCTACCACCCAATCTCTTTATCATCATGGCTCTCCTTTACTAGACAGTACACTTCTAGGAGACTATGATATTACGGATCTGGACAATGTTGATGTAAATTGTGAACTTCGAGGTGGAGGAAAAAAGAGGAAGAAAAAGAATTACTCAACTCCAAAGAAAGTTAAACACAAGAAAAAGAAAGTTAAACTTGCAACTCTGAAGTTTTACAAAGTAATGGATTTCATTATATAGCATTGACACTTTCAGGTTGACTCAAATGGTAAGGTGACACGACTACGCAGAGAATGCCCCAACGATAAATGCGGTGCAGGAGTATTTATGGCCAGTCACTTTGATCGTGAATATTGTGGAAAATGTACACTGACATATAAACATGTAAACAAGTAAAAATAAAGTAAGAAGACTTGGTGTTTGTTATTTTGAATTTCTTGCTCATTAAGTGCGTTCCGGCACATTAATGCTACATGGTATCGTTAAATTGTTTCCTAGTTGTGGATATGTAGTTTTTCCAATGTCTCATACTTTTACCTACACCGTGTTGCCAGAATAATCATCTTTGAGTTTACGAAGATGGAAGTGAAAAATGTCAAGATCACCTAACCTTCTGTTCAGAACTATTTTTGCGATCCAAGTGTCGCGTAGACAATCAATAGGCGTAATTTACTTGTTAATTAGCCGTATCTCTAGTATCAATGTGCCAACTACAGGGACTTACCATGGACGTCTTTCTAGTTTGTCCAGTCATGCCAGGAAGTAATGTAACTAGTACTATTAGTAGTACTCGCTTACCACCGGATATATGTTTCAAGATCTTCGTCTGTTCGAACCCAGTACATCAAAATCTATCAGTGGTCCAGTCAACAGCTTCGGGTGATTGGAATCGCTGGTATCTGACCTCAAACCTGAACGCAGGCAGTGTATGGTTTACATGAGTTGCGGAGGGGGTGGTGCACGAGTATAGGTATTGTAATATCTCTAACTAGTCATATCTGACATCCTGAATTACACTACACGGATTGACCGATCTGTAACCCCCATTTATCGAATTTCTACCAGTGAAGTGCATCAATCGTTGAATTTTCCCATGTCCAGTTGAGTAACAGACTATTGGGAACTTAACTGGATTAGTTACGTTACCCCCAGGGGCACAAATGTTATGTGCTAAATTACTAGTCATGGAAAGATATTTCAACTGACCTAAATTAGATTAGGGTATGGTAACGAAATAGTTCTGGTTGGTGAGAATGTTGACTATAGGTTATCTTCTGATCGCTTTGCATAATACTCGAAGCATACATGTCCTAGACAATTTGACTTGACATGCTAAAAGTCAGAGGAACTAGGCTTTTCGGTCGTTGTCAATGGTCCCATTATATCAATGCCTACTTGTTGGTGTGGTCCTGTTGACACCATCGGATTCAATGGTGCACGGTGTATCTACTGAGTTGATTTTCTACGGCAACACGTGTTACAATTCTTGCGAAATCCCGTCACAACGTCAATTGGCCACCAAAACCGCTGGTGGACAGCGTATTCACTCTTTCGTTCTTCTGCATGACCAAGTTCGTGATACACCTGCTCTACAATACTCTGGAATTTTACTTGCGTTACCTATCAGGGGTTTTTTCGATTCATTTATTAGGAACAACGTGTTACCATATAATTTTAGGTTGCATCCATTTGGTGAAATATACGAGTTGTTACAGGGTTGATATTTAAATCCTTCAGTGGATGGCTCATTGGTGTGCCGTGTAAACTGTCATTGGTAAGTATCTGCATGTCCGGATCTGCTTGCTTGCAGAGAGGACCAACCGATCTCGAGGGCTGTACTAACAACTGCATTAACGATATCTGTGGGCTGTGGTATGCAAGAGACAGCATCCGCGAGTATTACGATAATTTTGATAGGGTTGTAAGTAAGACAATTAACTTAATTATGGGAAGAACGTCCGATCGTAAAGACTAAACAAGTCAAACTGTCATTCGCGAAAGTGCACTACAGCGCTAGCGTTGAGTATGCCTTATTCACCGACTGCCTGACGAACGGGTGTTTTGAGAGTGTAGGGGAGCCAAAGCATGGCACAGACCCATGAATTCACTGACACACTGAACTGTCATGTTGATTGGTATATGACTACATGGTTTGGGTTCCACGAGCGATGGTTAGACACTGGATAACATGGCTTAATATCGTTTGTATGACGCAATGATAATCCCATCCTTTGTTTTCGAATTCTAGTCTGCTGAATTCCTCATGACTTTAAATTTGCCTCATTATTAGACTTCTCGAATGATATCTTCGAGCCCCAATCTTTTCCATTAACCCATAATACCTCCTTTTATTCCCCCAAATTATAATCTAAACTCCTCATGACCTTCATGTATTTCTCTCCTCAAATCTGTTTCACTGGATTATACTTCTTGCATAAAATTGTTCGGACTCTGATCGTTCCAATTACTACCCATACTCCTACAACCTCTACCATTATCGGCTTTGAATTTGCATCTCTGTGCTAATGTGGTGATAAGTCAAAACTGATGTATGTACGTATACGAAGTTTCTACGTTGTAGTTAGGCAGGCCTGGTAAAGCGGTTTATGTAAATAACTAGAACAAGAGTACTAGTGGTTATATTTTGTGACTTGAGAAACGGAGCTTACATGACGATATTGGCTCACAGAAAATAAGCGAATAATCAGTGGAAGCTAGTTATGTCCCTCCCACTAAGTGTGAAATAGTCTCTGGAAGCCAGTTTACGTAAAATGCTAAGTTTAGACATGATGAATTAGTCAGTAGTAACATCAGTGTGTGCAGGTTGTTATCAGCCTTGGTGACAACGGACGCGGTCCGACACATAATAGGCCACGTTTGGTGTCTAGCACAAACCGCAAATATAAATTCGTCTATGAGCGAGCGAGTGAGTTTGTTGTGCAGCACTGGTTCTGTGACTACAGTTGGCAAACATAATATCTATGTACTTTGTCGCAACTGAGTCGTCAGTTGTGTTGCTGGGTTTATAGGTAGTTAAAGTCGGTAGCTATTTTATTAGTCTAAGAAACTAAACAAAGTAACATTAGTCTTCGGAAGATTAGGTGATCTGTGGATCCACTATGAGAGAATAATCAAAAACTATTATACGGTCCTTCCCATTTATAAACTGATTACAGGACTAATATCATAACAGACGGCATTTTTGTAGGAAGTTAACGTGCTTAGCTCCGCTTTTCGAGTGGCTTTACCGCCGGAGACTGAAACCCATGGGGGTAGGGTGAGGGTATGATATTTTGAGTCCAACATTATCTAACACCTTCCTTCGTTCTGGGAAGTCAGCATCGCTTGCAGATGCTGACACTTAGCTGCTACCTTGATTTAGTGGTCGGGATCGTCCTATTGTGATGACCCAACCGAGATATATTTACTGGATGTATGTCCCTTTAGGTCATGCAATGCTAGGTAGATCGATTGAGGAAATGTAAGACTAGTAGCAACAACTCACAGGTTTGTGGACAAAGGGTCGTACTGCTGACTGTCGAGGGTGTGACAGATGTAAGTTGTTTCCTCCAGACAGCATCTGCAGTGATGCCTTCTCCCCTCATAGTTAAGGAAGGTGTTAGAAAAAGGTCGACTCAAATATCATAGCTCACCCTACCCCATGGGTTTCAAGTCTCCGGCGACAAAGCCATTCGAAAAGCGGAGCTAACACGAATTGAGCCGTAGGCGACCGGCCTCAGACTGTCGCTCGTTCTGGGCACACGTTTAGATTCAGATCATGCCTAGTGCGAGCGCGTATTTGTTTGAAGCTTACTGGACGTAGGAAAGACACCATGAGATAAAGCCTATTAGGGTTTTACGTAATGATAATAGGGCGAAAAATATATTTCAGGAACAACTAGAAAGAAAAACAGGCTACCATTTAAGCGATTCCCATCCGGAAGCAGGTTGGGATGATATCAAAAAGGCTGTGGAAACAGCAGTGATATCTGCTAGTGAGGTTGACCATAAGCCTAGAATAAAACCGTGGATCTCAGCAGCATCCACCGATCTGATGGATGCCCGAAAACTCATCCCACCTGGCTCTGAACATGATGAAGAACGAAGTCAACTTAGGCGCAGACTTATAAAAAAGCCTACGTAATGATCGCGAACAGTGGTGGGTGGCGAAAGCAAAAGCGATGGAAAAGGCAGCGGCGATCGGCAACAGTAGACAACTTTTCCGACTTATCAAGGAAACTGGTATTAGGAATCATAGTGTAAGTGAGACTATCTCAGAAAATGACGGGACTATTATTTATTCTCAATCCAGGAGACTGGATCGATGGGCAGAACACTTTAGCGATCAGTTCAACTGGCCTCGAGTCACTCTTCGGTTACCCACGATCTCCAGTCATCCTGAATGGCAAATCGACGTAAGTCCCCCTAGTCTTAATGGCGTTGAGAAGGCGTTAGGAAATTTGAAACGAGGACAAGCAGCAGGCCCTGATAGACTGACCCCTGAGATATTTAAGGATGGTGATCCAGTTTTAGCAGCCAGGGTGACTGAGATCTTAGGTAGAATCTGGGAACTGGACGTAATCCCATCCGACTGGTCTCAATTACTCATTGTCCCAATCTATAAGAAAGGACAAAAGTCTTCTTGTGACAATCACAGGGGAATCAGTCTAACTAAATATAGTTTCTAAATTGTTGGCCTCGATTATAATTAGACGCCATACTAGTGCTCGTGAAGTGCAGACTCGACAAAACCAGGCTGGTTTTCAACCTGGACGCGGCCTTATGGACCACATTTTCACACTATGACAGGTCCTGGAACACAGACACACATTTAGGCGTCCTACAATATTTGTCTTTCTGGACCTAAAGGCGGCATTCGACTCAGTGGATCGTGAGGTTCTGTGGCAGTGTCTGTCATTGAAAGGCGTACCAGAGAAGTACATTAACCTTATACAAGCTCTGTACTCGAACACCATTGGTCGAGTGAGAGCTTATGGCGAACGGTCACCGGAATTCTTCACTTCAAGTGGTGTCCGCTAGGGATGTCCACTCTCTCCATTCTTGTTTAATTTTATCATAGACATGCTCCTAGAAATAACCTTATCCTCGTCTGAATTTTCAGGAGCAGACCTTTTACCAAGAGGCTCACTAATTGACTTAGAATATGCCTATGACATAGCCCTACTTGGTGAAGACGCTGACAAAATGCAGAGTCTTCTGACTACCCTAAGCAACAATGCAAGCATGTTCGGGATGCGGTTTTCCCCCTCGAAATGCAAAATGTTGCTTCAAGATTGGGTTGCATCGGCACCTGAACTAGTGATAGGGAGTGAAGTAGTCGAACGTGTAGACCGCTTCACTTATCTTGGGAGTCTCATCAGTGCCGATGGCCTGGTGACTGACGAAATCTCAGCACGGATACAGA